AGGCGGTAACTGTGACGGCGACTGGACAGGCGGAGGACACTCTACTGAGGGAGGAGGACAGGGAGGAGGAGCCTGACCAAGAACCTGCTGAAGAAGTGGGACGAAGTACGGTCGGGGCCGCGTAGCGTCTCCAGAACCAGCAGAGACACCAGCGGCAGGGTCCTCAGCACCAGCAGCAACTCCAACGTCCGGGTCCTCAACACCAGCAGCAGCTCCACCGGCCGGGTCCTCAGCACCAGCAGCAGCACCACCGCTCGGGTCCTCAGCTCCAGCAGTAGCTCCAACGCTCGGGTCCGCAGCACCAGCAGCAGCGCCACCGCTCGGGTCCGCAGCACCAGCAGGAACTCCACCAGCCGGGTCCTCAGCTCCAGCAGCAGCTCCACCGCTCGGGTCCCCAGCTCCAGCAGTAGCTCCAACGTCCGAGTCCTCAGCACCAGCAGCAGCTCCACCGCCCGGGTCCTCAGCACCAGCAGCAGCTCCAGCGCCCGGGTCCTCAGCACAAGCAGCAGCGCCACCGCTCGGGTCCTCAGCACCCGGAGGACCACTCCGAAGACTGCAGCGGCGTGTGTACCACTCTCGGATCTGCTGAATGGGGGGGAGCTCCTGGGTAGGAGGGGAAGTACCGGGACGAGCTCCAGCAGCACCTCTCCGGAGGCGGCAGTACTCGAGGTACCTCTCCTGCAGCTGCTGGGAGGAGAGGGCTCCTCCAGGTGTAGCACGCTCAGTCTCAGCACCCCCAGACTCAGCACCCCCAGACTCAGCACCTCCAGGCTCCGCACCGCCAGGCTCCGCACCTCCAGGCTCAACACCCCCAGGCTCCGCACCCCCAGACTCAGCACCCCCAGGCTCAGCACCCCCAGACGCAGGACGAGAGTCAACAGCTACCTCGACAGGCTCACCCGGGTCTACCTGGGACACACCTGAGGGAGCGGCACCCTGAGGGGGGAGGGGGTCTGGTACCTCAGCACCTGGAGCGAGGAAGAGAGGCGGGGGGGGGAGCGGGGCAGTGCGGTAGGGGAAGAGGCGGTAGTAGGGGACGGACTCGTCAAAAGTGACGTCCTGAGAGGCCAGGACACGACGCGAGGTGGGGTGGTAGAACTGCCAACCAGGGGCGTCCGGGACAAAGCCAAGGAAGACACAGGGGACAGCGCGACGGGAGAGCTTGTCCGCGGACGCGTCGCGGACAAAAGCTCGGGATCCCCAGACCCGAAAACGCGACGCATCGCCAGCCTCTCCCGTCCAACGCAGTGTCGGGGAAGTCTCGGGCAAGGAGACACGGGGCCAGAGGTTGAGCTGATGCGTAGCGTATCGGACCGCAAACGGCCACAGAAAATGGGGGGCAGCCGCATGACTCAAGGAGGTACGAGCGACCTCCATGACTAGACCAATGCGGCGCTCAGCAACCCCATTCTGCTGTGGAGAGGCCGGAAGCGTGAACGACTGCTCAATGCCCTCCTGCTGACAGAAGGCCTCCAGGAGGCCAGAGGAAAACTCACCACATCTGTCAGAGTGCAGACGCAGGACAGGAAAGTCGGAGCGGAAACGCCTGGTGAGCTGGAGACGAGATCTGCGGATCCAAGGGATCAAGACATCAGGTACGTCACCCTTGGCTCGCAAGGGGAAGACCGTGGTGTAGCGCGAGAAGTCGTCAACAACGAGCAGGAAGTACCGCTCCTGACCCTGTCCACGGACGCGGGCTGGGCCCCACACGTCCAAGTGGAGCGTCTGCAAGGGAGCAGTCGTCGGGGGAAAGGAGGAGGAGTGAGGAGCGGCGCGCTGCCGCCCCTCGACACAGGGAATACAGGGAGGAGCAGGCGAGTCGGGAAGGGGAGGGAGCACCCTGGGAAGACCAGCAACAAGGTCCCGTTTGTGCATGGCCCGAAGGCGCTGCACAGACGGGTGACCAAGGCGGTGGTGCCAAAGGACAGTCTCATGCGCCAGAGAGCGACACGAGCAGGGGGCGGACAGCTGACCTGACGCAGACGCAGACGTAGACGCAGACGCAGCTACCTGAGGGGACTCAGTGGTCAGTGTGTACAGGTCCGACCCCGGCTCTCGAGTGAAAGTAGCCAGGTGGCGACCCGTCCGAGCACACGTGCAGTGTGTCACGCGCTCGTAGGCAGGGGTGAACTGGTGAACACCCGAGTCCTGGAGCGCACAACCCGCCACCAAGTTCGTAGAGAACGAGGGGAGGTAGAGACCTGAAAGCGTGCCGGACGGGACCGCAGGACAAGGAAGAACAGTGGAGGAGGTCGCAATGACCGGACCCCCAGAGGGGTCAGCAAGGGAGACAGCAACTGGCCGAGCGAGTGGCTCAAGGACAGTGCGGTCACGAAAGAAAGAGCGAGAGGCACCTGAGTCCAGTGTGAAGGTGTGCAGTGCTGCAGTCAACCCAGTACCAGGGGGCACGGACGCACTAGCACCTAGGGCAGCAGCCTCACCAGGACCTGTGGGAGCAGACGCACTAGCACCTAGAGCGGCAGCCGGACTGGCCTGAATGCCCGGGTCGGGCGGAACACGCAAGTACTGAGCACCCTCTCCACTAATAGACATGGCATACATGGCAGTGAGAATAGCATCAAAGTCTAGAGCCCAAATATCGACACCCCTCTTTTCCAGATCAGCCCAGCGCGGCAGCTCAGCGGCATCGGGAAACTGGGTGCGCCACGCGTCGTTAAGGCGCGCGAAGCAGCGGTGCGTGGGGTGCGGCCTCCCACACTGCTGGCCTCTGCGGTCACCTGTGCGAATGACGTACGTGCAGGTAAAGCCACGCTGCGCATACCACTCACGGGCGGCCTGAAGCGTCGGGGCGGGCTGCTGACTCGGGCCTCCGCCAGTGCCTCCACGACCACCACCGCCACCACCACCGCCTCGGCCACCTCCACCCCTGCCGCCGCCACGACCACCTCCACCTCCGCTGCCGCCTCCACCCCTGCCACCGCTCCCGCCGCTGCTGTCTCCTCCCCCACTGCCGCCACTAGCCTCCCCAGTCGCGCCTCCACTCCCACCGCCTCCACCCCCACCTCCTCCGCCACCACCCCCACCCCTGCCTCCCTTGCTCCTGCGGCGCCCGCTCGAAGCAGACGCGGTCCCGACCTTCTCAGCACCAAGGAGGTCGACAGCAGCAGCAGAGGCGACAGAGGGGAGGAGGGGGGAAGGGGAACACCCCTCGAAGAACGGGGTGCGGGGGTCGCCACGAGAGGTGCCTACAGCGACGATGCTCGCCTCAGCTGCAAGCAGTTCCTTCTCGAGGAGGGCAACAGTGAGCTCAGTGGGGGAGCGAGAGAGGAAGTGGTCCCTGACTGCGTGCAGAGAGTCAGGGAGGCGGGTGACGATGTGGTAGAGAGTGATCCAGAGCGGGGGGGGGTTGCTAGTGAGAAACTCGGCAGGCATAGCAGCGCGAAAGCGGGCCTCACTAGTCTTAAGGTGGGTGATGAGGTCTGCGACAGTGTGAAAGGAGGCTAGGTCGGGGAACAGGTAGGGGAGAGTGAGGCGGCCTAGCGTAGCAGAAGCGGGTGAGGAGTAGCGGGCAACTACAGCGGTGTAGAGGTCCTTAGCAGTCTTGCACTGGCCGAAGTGCTCGCGCTCGTCTAGCGGCAGGGAGTTGCGAATAGCAAAGCGAGCGTGCGCATCACGAGTCTGCCACTGAGAGCGTAGAGTGCTGTCAGCAGACGTGTCAGGGGCAGTAGCATGGCCTAGGGCGTGGTCGTACAGCGAGATGTCTTCCTTGGCAGTGAGCTGTAGGAACAGGTGCAGGTCATCTAGCCAGGTTTCGAACTTCACCGGACGGCCCTCGGCATCGAAAGCTAGAACGGGAGGACTAGCCATAGTGACAGTAGTAGGAGGAGGAACTAGGCCGCTGGAAAGGTGTGCGTAGGGTCAACGGGACCGGCGGGGCCGCTAGGTAAGGCGCGGGCGGGGTCGACTGTCCGTAGTGGCACACGAGCGGCAGGAGTAGGGAGCGTGGCAGCAGGAGCTGCAACGGCGCACTGGTGGCAGCTGCAGTGGCAGCAGTGTGCGCGGTAGGTAGCGTAGGGGCAGCGGCGGCGCACGGGCAGCGGCGGCGCACGGGCGGCAGCAGTGCACGTGCGGCGACGGCAGGAGGCGGCGGTGCGCAAGCAGCAGCGGAAGCAGCGCACGGGCGGCAGCTGCGTATGCGCACGTGCGGCAGTGGCAGCGGCGCACGGGCGGCTGCGGGCAGCGGGGCGTGCGCGAGCAGGCGACGGGCGGCTGCGGGGCGTGCGCGAGCAGGCGACGGGCGGCTGCGGGGCGTGCGCGAGCAGGCGACGGGCGGCTGCGGACGGGCGGCCTCTGCGACGGCGGGCTGCGGGCAGCGGGGCGTGCGCGAGCAGGCGACGGGCGGCTGCGGGGCGTGCGCGAGCAGGCGACGGGCGGCTGCGGACGGGCGGCCTCTGCGACGGCGGGCTGCGGGCAGCGGGGCGTGCGCGAGCAGGCGACGGGCGGCTGCGGGGCGTGCGCGAGCAGGCGACGGGCGGCTGCGGGGCGTGCGCGAGCAGGCGACGGGCGGCTGCGGGGCGTGCGCGAGCAGGCGACGGGCGGCTGCGGACGGGCGGCCTTTGCGACGGCGGGCTGCGGGCAGCGGGGCGTGCGCGAGCAGGCGACGGGCGGCTGCGGGGCGTGCGCGAGGCTACGAGGCGCACGGGCAGCAGCGCAAAGGCGCGCGGGCAGCTGGCGGGGCGCACGCGTGAAAACGGCCGCGCGCGAGCGGCTAGTACGGCGCGCGCGGTAAAAAAAAAAAAGGAAAGCCACGCGCGGGCGGCTAGCGAGCTGCGTGCGCGTGGTAGGTAGGTAAGGAGCGCTCTAGGACGCGCAGGCGCACGAGGCGCACAGTAGGTAGGTAGGTAGGTAGGTGGGCCCTAAGAACAGTCGTAGCGACGGACCTGCTCTGATACCATGTCAGTAATAACGGACTGGAATGGTGAACTAGAAAGGATTGTGAGTACAAATATGAAACCCTAATGTTGTGACCCCCCTATAGGCTAACCCACTACAGCCTACACAAACACAACACATATAATGTTTGACAGGGTGGACGACCCCGACGTCGTCCTCAGCAAGCTCACCGACCTCGGCGAGTAGAGGGAGAGTTGCCGTCGAGGTATCCGTCGGCGTGGCCACCAGCTTCCGCCCAGACACCGGCCCACGCTCTGACTTCCACTCCTCCAGCGACAAGTCCTCGTAGAACACCACCCGGTTGGCGGCAATGTCGAGAAGCTCCCAGCCCTTGCTTGCCTCCGACACGCCGAGGTGAAGGCCCCACTTGGCCTTCGGCTGCAGCTTCCCACCACGCTGCTGCTCGGGGATGAGGAACTGCGCCATGCAGCCCCACACTCGCGCCAGCGACAAGTCGGGCTTCGTCCCGGTCAGCAGCTGGTATGGCGTCGTCCCCGGCGTCGCCGACCGCTCCAGGCAGTTGCGGATCCAGACGGCCTGCCGCAGAGCGAGGTGCCACCAGTGGTGCTGCACGCCCATGTGCAGCAGCATCGTCCGTACCGACTCCACCACCGTCCGCATCTCCCGCTCCGCCATGCCATTCTGCTGCGGAGTGTATGGGCAGGTCAGGTCGTGGACGATCCCCTTTCCATCCACGAAGTCGGTGAACTGCTTCCCGAGGAACTCCCCGCCCCGGTCCGAGCGCAACATCAGCACCGACTTCTTCGTCTGCCTCTCCACCAGCACCAGCCACTTCTGGAACTCCAGCAGCACATCCGACTTCTTGGCGACCGGCCTCACCCACACGTAGCGGGACTTACGGTCCTTCAACAGCAAGAAGTACAGGCTGCCATCCTTGGCAGCCACCCGGAATGGCCCGCACAAGTCGATGTGGACGACGGCTAGCAAGTCGGCGGCGTCGGAGCCTTGGTCGGGGAAGGTGTGCCGCGCCAGCTTCCCGCCAACGCACGAGACACACGGTGAGTCGGCGCCCGTCGCCGACTTGAGGTCCAGCCCAATGGCGACCTCGTTCTTCGCCGAGCTCCTGATGGTGTCCATGCCGACGTGCGCAAGCCGAGCATGCATCCTGTCCGGCGTCGACTTCGTCTTGGAGACGATCGCCCGCAGAGCTACAACCTCCGGCGTGGTTGACGTCGACCTCGTGGAGCAGGGACGCAGGTCGGTGCAGAGGACTCGCCCAGAGTACGTCGCCCGACCAAGCACCTCCCCTGCTGCCGAGACGAGCAGCATCCCGTCACCGTCCTCCCGCAACTTCACACCGTGCTCCTTCAACTGACCGGACGACAACAGGTTTGCCCGCACACCCGGGACGTACAACACGTCGGGGATGAGAACCTGCTTCCCGGCCTCGCCTTGCAAGGCGACCGTGCCCCGGCCCTGGACGTCTTGCAGCGCCCCATTGAAGCCACGCACGTGCTTCACGTCGCCGCTCGGCCCCAGGTCGACGAAGGCGTCCTTCGTCCCCATTAGGTGGTGGGAGCAGCCGCTGTCGAGCAGGACCACCGCCGGGTTAGCCTGCACAGCTGCCGCCACCGCCTGGAAGTCCTCGCCGGCCTCCGGCGCCAGTGAGACGGTCGGCTCCACGACGCCGACCAGGGAGCACGACGCCGACTTGTCGCCCTGCCCCTTGCCGCCAGCAGAGGAGTCGGCGTCCTTCGCCGAGGTCGACGACTTGGTCGACTGCTTCTCCTTGCGCGATTGACTTCCTCCTCGACGAGGTCGACGACTGCCAGACCTCCCGCGGCCTCCCTTGTCGTCGTCGTCCGAGTCACTGCGGTCGGGGCACTCGAAGGAGAGGTGGTCGGGGTCGCCGCACAGCCAGCACTCCCGACGTCGACTTCCTCCTCCTCGACCGCTGTCCTTGGTCGACTTCTTCTTGTCGACCTCCTTGGCCGACTTTGAGCGTCGCCCGCGTGCTCGGCGCCATCGACAGCCGCTTCAGCAGGTTGTAGCTGCTTGGAAGTTCCTGCATGACATGGGTGATGTACGACGCCGTCGAGTACTCCGCACCGGCCATCCTGATGGTGGCGAGAATTCGCCGGGCCCGGTTGCAGTAGTCGGTCGCCGTCTCCTGGTCGCCCATACGCAGGTGTGTCAGCTGCCCCTCCAGTTGGGCGATGAACAAGTCGTCGGTGACTTGGTAGGTCGACTCGATGAAGTGCCACGCCTGGTGGCCAGCGTCGAGGTACTCCCGGCACCACTTCAAGGCGATCTGCACGCCCGGCGAGCAGCACCGTGAGATGACCGTGAAGGTCAACAGCTGCACAGCGCGGAACTCCGCTCGCAAGTCGGGGTCGCTCGGCGTCGCCACGGTACCTCGAGCGAAGCTGATCAGCCCGACCATCTCCAGCTGGGGCTCGATGGCCTCCTTCCAGGTGAGTATGTCGGGTCGACCGACCAGCGGGGGAGTCACCGAGATCCTATCCGGCGTGAACTTGAAGTAGCCGTAGCTCGGCGCAATTCCGCCCGCCGTCACCTGGGACGCCGACATCGGCGTCAACCCGCTTCGTCGACCTCCGACGTCGCCCTGCGAGATGCCCGCAGCCGACGTCGATCGCACCCCTCGCCCTTGAACGCCGCCGACTTCATCGGCGTGAATCACACCACGCTGCCTCGACGTGCCTCCCGCACTGCTGCCGACTTGGTCGCCCCCGGCGTTGACGCCCACGTCGACGCCGCCCTCGGTGTTCACCGGTCGAGGAGAAGCAGGCCGAGAAGGGTGCTCCGTCGCCCACAAGGAACGGATGCCAGCCTCGACGACCGCCCACGGCAGGTCGCCATACTCGTTGGCCTCGTGCTTCCTCCTCGCGTTTTCCAGCCGTGCCTCCAGGGTGTCCACCACCCCCGTGTCACCTACGGCGCCTACCATGGTGACTACCGCACAGCTGCCGGCCTACGAACAACTTAGGTAAGGTGCAACTAAGTCGACTAGACTGAAAGGTAAGTCGTTGTGCCGTCCACGCTCACCGCACTATGCGGAGATAACTACTACAACGGGAGCTAGACTACGGGCTAGGCACAGGTGCTCGTGTGATCTCTGCGTTCGTTGGTCCTTAGTCGTTTCCTAGTGCACACACTGCTTGCTAGTTCACAAGGTAATTTGGCAAGAGTTTCACTAGAGAAAGTAGACAACAATGATACAATGAAGTTGGCTAGGCAAGACTACATCAGAGCTAGGATGCAAGCAGGTCGACTGCCAGCGCAGCACGGTCGACCGCGTGCCAGCACGACTTGGTCGACCGCGCTCCAGCAGTGCAGGGACGCGGCTTGCCAACGCTGCAGGTCGACGGCATGACAACAGTGCAAGTCGACGGCGTGCCAGCGTTGCTCCTGCAGTCCAGCATCGCACCAGCTTCGCAGGTGCTCGTAGATGATTGGCGTGCACTGCTTCGTCACCTGCACAGCGCACACACCAAGTCCACCTCGTGCTGACGACTGCATCTGATGCACCACGTCGACCTCGGGATACCATCACCGAGGTCGTCCTCGCCAAAACCACCTGGGCGACCTTCGCAAGCCTTCGCAGCACCTCGTCACCCAGGTAACTTGGTCGACCGGGCAACCAGGTCGACCAGAGGCTCCAGTGCGTGCCCGTCGACCACCCAGGTCGACGACCACTTCCGGTCGACCTCCCAGGTCGACCACTGCCTCTGGTACGTGCCGGTCGACCTCCCAAGTCGACGGCCACCTCCAGTCGACCTCCCCAGGTCGACCACTATCCCCTGGTCGACCAGCTCCAAGTCGACGTCACTCCTGGTCGACCAGAAGGTCTGGTCGACGTCCCAGGTCGACCAGAAGGGGTGGCCGACTTCCCAGGTCGACCAGGAGGTCTGGTCGACGTCCCAGGTCGACCAGAAGGTCTGGTCGACGTCCCAGGTCGACCAGAAGGGCTGGTCGACTTCCCAGGTCGACCAGCCGAAGTTGGCGCCCTCCTGAAGTCGGCGCCCATGCAGTGGCTCCCCGTGCAGGTCGACTGTCAACGGGAGTTGGGTGTTGGCCCCGTCCTCGCTTGGGCGGAGCCGACTTCCTGGTCGGGTGTAGGGGTGCAGCCGACCTGCAGTAGTGGGCGAGCCGGTCGACGGGGTTGGTCGATCTGCACGGGGGCCACTGGGAGGGCGCCGACTTCGGGAGGGCGCCAACTTCGAGTGGTCGACTTGAGAAGTCGACCTGCAGAGGGCGTCGACTTGGGGACGCCGACCTGGGGTAGCCGACTTGGGTGGTCGGCCAACAGGAGTGCTGGTCGACCTGGAGGTGGTCGACAAGGAGTGTCGTCGACCTGGAGTTGGTCGACCAGAGGGCGTGGTCGACCTGGTGAGGTCGACTGGAGGTGGCCGTCGACTTGGGAGGTCGACAGGCACGCACAGGAGCACCTGGTCGACGTGGTTGCCCGGTCGACCAGGTTACCTGGGTGACGAGGGTCTGCGAAGGCACGCGAAGGTCGCCCAGGCGAGGTTGGCAAGGACGACCTCGGTGGTGGTATCCCGAGGTCGACCTGGCAGATGAGATGCAGTCGTCAGCACAAGGTGGACTTGGTGCGTACGCTGTGCAGGTGACGAAGCAGTGCGCGCCAATCATCTACGAGCACCTGCGAAGCTGGTGCGATGCTGGACTGCAGGAGCAACGCTGGCACGCCGTCGACTTGCGCTGTTGTCACGCCGTCGACCTGCAGCGTTGGCAAGCCGCGTCCCTGCACTGCTGGAGCACGGTCGACCAAGTCGTGCTGGCACGCGGTCGACCGTGCCGCGCTGGCAGTCGACCTGCTTGCATCCTAGCTCTGATGTAGTCTTGCCTAGCCAACTTCATTGTACCATTGTTGTCAACTTTCTCTAGTGAAACTCTTGCCAAATTGCCTTGTGAACTAGCAAGCAGGGTGTGCACTAGGAAAACGACTAAGGAACAGAGAACGCAGAGATCACACGAGCACACGTGCCTAGCCCGTAGTCTAGCTCCCGTTACTAGAGTTATCTCCGCATGGTGCGGTGAGCGTGGACGGCACAACGACTTACCTTTCAGTCTAGTCGACTTGGTAGGCACCTTACCTAAGTTGTTCGTAGGCCGGCAGCTGTGCGATAGTCACTATGGTAGTAGCTGTAGGTGACACGGGGGTGGTGGACACCCTGGAGGCACGGCTGGAAAACGCGAGGAGGAAGCACGAGGCCAACGAGTATGGCGACCTGCCGTGGGCGGTCGTCGAGGCTGGCATCCGTTCCTTGTGGGCGACGGAGCACCCTTCTCGGCCTGCTTCTCCTCGACCGGTGAACACCGAGGGCGGCGTCGACATGGGCGTCAACGCTGGAGGCGACCAAGTCGGCAGCAGTGCGGGAGGCACGTCGAGGCAGCGTGGTGTGATTCACGCCAACGAAGTCGGCGGCGTTCAGACGCGAGGAATGCGGTCGTCGGCGGCTGCAGGGTTCTCGCAGGGCGACGTCGGAGGTCGACGGAGTGGGTCCGTGCCGATGTCGGCAACCCAGGTGACAGCAGGCGGGATTGCACCGAGCTATGGCTACTTCAAGTTTACGCCGGATAGGATCTCGGTGACTCCCCTACTGGTCGGCCGACCCGACATTCTCACCTGGAAGGAAGCTATTGAGCCCCAGCTGGAGATGGCCGGGCTCATCAACTTTGCTCGTGGTACCGTGGCGACGCCGAGCGACCCCGACTTGCGTGCGGAGTTCCGCGCCGTGCAGCTGCTGACCTTCACGGTCATCTCGCGGTGCTGCACGCCGGGCGTGCAGATCGCCCTGAAGTGGTGCAGGGAGTACCTCGACGCCGGCCACCAGGCGTGGCACTTCATTGAGTCGACGTACCAGGTCACCGACGACCTGTTTATCGCCCAGCTTGAAGGGCAGCTGACGCACCTGCGCATGGGCGACGAGGAGACGGCGACCGACTACTGCAACCGGGCCCGGCGAATTCTCGCCACCATCAGGATGGCCGGTGCGGAGTATTCGACGGCGTCATACATCACCCATGTCATGCAGGGACTCCGGAGCAGCTACAACCTGTTGAAGCGGCTGTCCATGGCGCCGAGCACGAGGGCGACGCTCAACGAGGACAACCTAACCTCGTACATCCTGCAGGACGAGGCGATGCAGGAGGCTGAGCGGTCCCAGGAGCTCTTGGCGCAGGCAAACTTTGTCGCCCCGGCGAAGCAAGGCGGTCGACCGGGGCAGCGTGGACAGTCTGGCGGCAGTGGTAGCGGTGGCTCGAAGTCGGCCAAGGAGGTCGACAAGAAGAAGTCGACCAAGGACAGTGGCCGGGGAGGAGGAAGTCGACGTCGGGAGTGCTGGCTGTGCGGCGACCCCGATCACCTCTCCTTCGAGTGCCCCGACCGCAGTGACTCGGACGACGACGACAAGGGAGGCCGCGGGAGGTCTGGCAGTCGTCGATCTCGTCGGCCGCGCAAGGAGAAGCAGTCGACCAAGTCGTCCACCTCGGCGAAGGACGCCGACCCCTCTCCTAGCGGCAAGGGGAGCAACGACAAGTCGGCGTCGTGCTCCCTGGTCGGCGTTGTGGAGCCGACCGTCTCACTGGCGCCGGAGGCTGGTGAGGATTTCCAGGCGATGGCAGCAGCAGTGCAGGCGAACCCGGCGGTGGTCTTGCTGGACAGCGGCTGCTCCCACCACCTGATGGGGACCAAGGACGCCTTCGTCGACCTGGGGCCGAGTGGCAACTTGAAGCACGTGCGTGGCTTCAATGGGGCGCTGCAAGACGTCCAGGGCCGGGGCACGGTTGCGTTGCAAGGCGAGGCCGGGAAGCAGGTTCTCATCCCCGACGTGCTGTACGTCCCGGGTGTGCGGGCAAACCTGTTGTCGTCTGGTCAGCTGAAGGAGCATGGCGTGAAGTTTCAAGAGGACGGCGACAGGATGCTGCTTGTCTCGGCAGCAGGAGAAGTGCTTGGTCGGGCGACGTACTCCGGGCGAGTCCTCTGCACCGACCTGCGTCCCTGCTCCCCGAGGTCGACGTCGCCCACGCCGGAGGTTGTGGCCCTGCGGGCGATCGTCTCCAAGACGAAGT